TGCGACCGGTATGGCGGCAAAGTGTGATAAAAAAGGACAAAAACTTGAACGGATTTCGCAAGTAAAGAAATAAATAATAAATAATTTGACATACCTGATGTTATAACAACTGTTCAAAATTTTGCCCACCGACGTGTAAACACATTTGGAGCCGTCTTACACAGTTTCTACACAAAAAATGTTGTCTTGCTTCACCATAACACAAATGCTTCACTATAATACAAATGTTGTCTTGCTTCACCATAAATTAAAACGATATTCATCAACTCCAAGTTGCCGCAAGCCATTTTTGACACGAACTACTAAAAAAATATTGTAAACACTATTTCAATATTCCGAGTCGATGAGGCCACGTAGCTCTCCACCCGTATTACGAATGACTAGAGACTACAGTTGTCCAGCTATGCAATGGTTGAAAGTACTACCACTTCAATAATTTTTTTCTCGGAAACTATAAGGATTTTACAAATTTTTTTTTACGATATTGACTCCATTTCTCATACCGCATCAATTCCCAATTTTTTTTGAATAAATTGTCACTAAATCACCTTGTATAGGTTAGACTTCCAACTTAACCTTGAAAACTTGCGCGAAAGTATTCGATACGTTCAAATTACATGGAAATTGGACATACAACATGTAACACCAGAATTGAAATCGAATAATGACCATGTTTCAATATAAATATTACTTACTTATTTTAGATAGTTTAAGTTTTTGTTTGGACGCATTTACTTGTAATTGTTACTCCTGTTTTTAATCCTTTTTAAATTTTATGTTTACTCTGGTTTTTAACCACATTTTTTAACAATTATTTTCAAAATATTTAGTAAAAAAATTAAGTATTCTTATCAGTATTATTGACTTTATTTTCATCGCATTGTAACACTACCTCGTTAACTACTAAAACGCATCTCGTAATATTTTTGTCATTCAACTAGCAAGCAATTTGTAGTGGTACAGCAAGATTTGGCCTTTCTTTGCGTATGATTATTCGGGCTATCGTGGAATTAAATGATCGGGCTGTCCAGCTAGCTGCGGATCTCAATTAGTTATTTGGATTTGCCAATCTTATCATTCTTCGGCACGTTGTAGCTGCCCTGATTTTAAGGATCACTCTAGTTTGTAATAGTTATTTATGCCTCCGTAGAATGCCTGTAAGCTTTGGGACCTTTTTCCACTATAGGGCTAGTGTATGTTGTAGTGTTGTTTATAGCAGCTTTATAGCCGTGTACCCTTTGAGGGTCTTCGCCGCAGGTAGAAGGAGCTACGTAAACTGTGTGAAAATATAACTCAATATGGAAATTCATAATTTTGCTTTATTGTGACTTTAGAGCATAGATATTTGTTATAGACATTTATATGTATTCGAAATATAGGGCGTTAAAGATTTTTTTGAAAATTAGAATTTTTTAAATAACTTCTAAATGAAGAAGGCTATTTAAGCCAAATTTGGCATGACCCATCTTCTTATAAGATACCATTTTTCAGACTCATTAAGTTATAAAAAAAATATAATACGGCCCTACTGAAAATAAAAAATGATGCTGTTTTTAGATAGAACAGTTTGTTATCGACAAAAAGTGTACATTCACTTTTTTCCTAACTCTTATAGTTTCATGGCAAAATTGATTTTTCGGAAGGGTGCTTCTGGATTCTGTCGATAAACTTTAAAATGTACCTCAACAAAAATTTTCGAGTAGGCTGCTGTCAAGCAATGTTAATTTGACGTTTCGCATTTTGTGAATTGTTGCAAAAATTATCCATTAGATAAAGCGTTCAACTAACAAGAAAAATAAGTTTAATAATGCCTTTCATATTTTCGAACAATGAATATGCTGATATGGTCTTTGTATATGGTTTTTGTGATGGAAATGCCACGGCGGCTCGCCGTGAATATGCAGTAAGACTTCCTCATCGCAGACTGCTATCAGCAAAGGAACCATTTTCAACGACATTCAGTCGTCTCAAACAAACTGGGTCTTTCAGTATTCCAACTTATGCTGATGGACATTTTGCCCTACTTCAGGACAAAGTAAGATCGAATACTATTTTAAACCATTTCGATGAAAATCCATCCACGAGTCTCAGAAGATCTAGCTATGAGCTAGGTATTTCGTCAAGTTCCATTTATTGCCTCAGGACATACGATGCAGGCGCGTGTTTTGTGACTGGATGTTAAACCAAGCAGATGATCAGTTTACGCAAAAAGTAATGTGGACAGATGAGGCAACATTTACTCGAAGGGGAATTTTAAACCAAAGTAACATAGTTTTCAGCATGAATTCCAATGTAACGTATGGTTGAGTGTGTTGGACAACACTATAGTTGGTCCCTACCTCCTTCCGCATCGTTTAAATGCTGACATGTTTACCGAGTTCTTTGAAAATGGTTTTCAAGATCTGTTAGAAGATGTTCCGCTTAATACTCGATTGAACAGTTGGTTTCAACTAAATGATTGTCCTGCCCATTTTGGTATAGGTCCTAGGGAGTGGTTAAACATTAATTATCCCAGGAGATGGACTGGTCTTGGAGGACCTGCAGCGTGGCCCGCAGGTTCACCGGACTTAACACCGATGGATTATTTCGTTTGGGGTGCTGTTAAACAAAAAGTCTACGAGGTGCCAGTTGATACCCTAGAAGATCTAAGACAGCGAATAGTCCAAGCGTACCGAAAATTAACGCCAATTCAGTGTCGATCGGCCACTACCTCCATAATTAGAAGATGTCGTGCTTGTTTACAGTCCGTAGGCGCCCATTTGAACAAAATATTTTTTAAATCATTTCATTTTTTGATTCACTTTTCGTTTTGTCTAGTTATAACATTAATTGGCAATTTTTTGGTTGTTTCAATTTACAAATAAATTTTTATGTATTGTTTGTCATCTCATTTTATTTAAAAGTACACAACACAAGTAAATGAAGTGACTACAAACCGCCTGAAAAAAATTAGGAGTATTGCAAGGGTCGTTACGTTGTCGCATTACGACATAGTCACATTAGATGTTAGGTACTTAAATTATTTCTATTGTTTTCATCATTTTTTTTTCTAAAAAAAAACACCCTATATCTCAAAAACGAAACATCTCCTAAATAATTTTAATACTATTGGTTAAACCCAAGGGTGGGGGAGACAAAAAGGCTTATTTAACTCACACATACTTGAGACTAAGACCAATTTTAATAGGTACTATATTTTTTTAGGTTTTATGAGGAACGTCTTCCTAAGGTTTATCAACAGAATCCAGAAGCACCCTTCCGAAAAATCAATTTTGCCATGAAACTATAAGAGTTAGGAAAAAAAGTGAATGTACACTTTTTGTCAATAACAAACTGTTCTATCTAAAAACAGCATCATTTTTTATTTTCAGTAGGGCCGTATTAATTTTTTTATAATTTAATGAGTCCCCAAAACTCCGCCACTGGTTGCTTGCGGGACTTATACTTCTATGGAAAAATGGTATCCTATAAGAAGATGTGTCATGCCAAATTTGGCTTAAATAGCCTTCTTCATTTAGAAGTTATTTAAAATATTCGAATTTTTTTAAAAATCTTTGACGCCTTATATATCGAAAATGAAGCATCTCTGGAAAAAAAATTATACTTGATTTTTTTCTTATTTTTTTCTGAGGAATATCTCCTTAAAGTTTGTCGACTTAATCCTGAAACACCCTGTACATATACAGTGTAGGAAAGTACCGATGGTCTATCAGAAGTTACGTGAGAGCGATAAAGTAAGCCATAGAAAACCATGTGATAGACAAGGATGGCTATAATGAAGGCGTCTATTAGTCAACGCCCATTTCGCCCTTTCACAAATAAGAAGTGAATCTTATTTGTGGAAGGGCGAAACGGGCGGTGACTATGAGACGCCTTCATTATATCCATCCTTCTCTATCGCATGAATTTCTATGGCTTACTTTATCGCTCTCACGTAACTTCAGATAGACCATCGGTACTTTCCTACCCTGTAGTATTGCTGCAAAAATTTTGATCGTGCGGCAGGCACTTGCCAGGCACCCATCTCTGGTTAGATCGCGCTGCATGCACTGAGTAGGGTTCAGCCCTGCAAATACCAAGAGTTGACGTTCTATCACAAAGCGGAATTTCTGGCGTCCTCTGGATAAGCGAGTGGATGGCCCCTCCGGAACATTGAATCTTCCTGGGTTTCTCAATCAATGACGGACGGGGTATTGTGTTGATTAGGTCCGAATTTCGTAATATTCGGAAATATTTGGAATTTCCGAACTCGGGCCTAATTTTCGGTCGCGGCGCTCCAATCGAGTTGTCGAGGATGAGTTGCTGCATCGGGGTAGTTTGAGCTGCGCGGAGCGGTTGTTGGGCGCGACGGACGGTGAGAAAATTGGAAAGATAGGAAAAAGTGAAATTGATGTACAGGAGTTTCGGATTCTTTGCGATGTCGTTCTCGGCTCTGGGTACGATAGATGGCAGTTTAAGCGGTTTTTTTACGCTTTTCTGGTCCAGATTAAAAAGTGGGGTCAATTTTGAAAACACTCAAAACGGAAATACGACAAATTTGCCAGGTACACCTACTTGTTAGAGGTTCTTTTTCAACTTCTCAACTTCAAAAAAATTTTTCCTCTACCTGTAATATACGGAATGATCTAGCTCGTACAACGACGTATCTTACACGATATCCTTGAAACTGCCTAATATCTCGCGCGGGACGGAGTCTTGGAAAATGTTCTGCATAACAACGTTTTGTTGACGTTCATTAACAACAAACAATATTATTGTGAAACTGACTATGTTCTGTCAGCCCGATGTCTGTAAGCCACTCCTTTTTTATTAACCATTTCGAAATTTACATTTATAGGAACGTTTCTTAAAATGAAACTCTCCATATAATCTACTCCAATTTATATTAGTTATTTTCTGTTGATTATTAATTTATTCTTTCCTTCTGTCCATAAATCCTCTCAATACAATACTGAAAAAGTGGGGTCAATATTTATATTTTGTTTTTTTTTGTTTTTCAGAATGTAACTGTAATGGATACTCTAACCGATGTTTTTTTGATCGCACACTGTACGAACAGACGGGTCATGGAGGACACTGTATGGACTGCACGGCCAATAGAGACGGTCCTAATTGTGAACGTTGTCAACAGAATTACTATATGAGAGAAGATGGTTATTGTATTCCATGCGACTGTAACGAGATTGCTTCTATGAGTCTTCAATGCAACGCAGAAGGCAAATGCCAGTGCAAACCAGGAGTAACTGGAGGAAAATGTGACAGATGTAACGTAAACCATTACGATTTCTCGACGAATGGTTGTAAGAGTTGCGGTTGCTTAGAAATGGGATCGGTTAACAACGAACCAAATTGTAACCCATATTCTGGAGCTTGCCACTGCAAAGAAAATGTAGAAGGGATCCGTTGCAGGGAATGCAAACCTGGATATTTTAACCTCGATTTTGATAATAAATTTGGATGCACCCCGTGCTTTTGCTACGGGCATTCCTCGTTATGTAAATCTGCCCCTGGTTATTCTAAATACCTTTTGGAGTCTTCGTTTTCGAGGAATTCTGAAAGGTGGAGGGCTGAAGATGAATACGGAAGAAGTGTTAACTTAAAATATGATACGTTTACGCAAAGTGTAGGTGTCCAATCTGCTGGCGATGTTATCTACTTTGTTGCTCCAGATCGATTTTTGGGTGATCAAAGGGCCTCTTACAATCAACTATTGGAGTTCATTTTAAAAGTTGGTGATAATGAACCATTTTCCACAGCCACAGATATAATATTAGAAGGTGGTGGATCGACTATAACAAACTCGATATTTGCCCAACAAAATCGAATGCCATCAGTGCAAGTATGTATTATTTTTACAGTTCATTTTAAGCATCCGGATTAGATTTCTTCCCTATTAAGTTTGTTCTGCAGCAGTCTCAAACTGTTCAAATTCAACTCAAACTCTCAGATATACTCGGCCACTGAAATTGTCGTGTACTTTCAATGAGTCTGAGGTCACAAATCAATTGGTCAAAACAAAATGTTGACCTGTGTTAATATTAATATAAAACATACGGGCCCAAGCAAGTTCAACTAGCTAACATTTTTAATTAAAGGCTTTATCGATAAATTACGTAACCTGCAGAAATGATGAAACATCCTTGTAGAATTATTTTAACTTTACCAAAATATATATAGTCTTTCAACTTACAAAAACTGAAAAGTTTAGTCATCGAATATAATCAAGAATACGATACAATAAAGAACACAAGAAAATATAGGATTAGCTAAGGTGTAATAGCTCGTCTGGCATTTAATACCAGGTTACTAGACAATATATCCATGTACCTTGCACATTCTTCTGGTACGATATGTTTTTGAGTTGTTGATATCTCGTTTAGTTTTCGTTTTATTGTTATTTGAACGTTAGTGACTATTTTTGAAATGTGCGATTTTCTGGAACAACAATCCAACGTAAAATTTTGCGTGTAACTGGAAAAAACTCCCACGGAAACGTTTCAAACTTTTGAAACAACCTTACGGAGATGATGCTCTCGGTCGTACGTAATGTAATGAATGGTTTTCACGATTTAAAAGTAATCGCACTTTATAGAAGATTATCCTCGATCAGAAAAGCCTTCGACTTCAACTGATGGCTCCCACGTTCAGAAAATAAAAAATCTGGTACGTGCAAATCGCCGATTGACTGTCAGAGAAATCTCTAAAAAAATGTTTGGTTATCTTCTTATTTTAACAGATCTTGTAATTCCTTCATTCTCGACGGTTTTGCTTGACCTGAACTGAGGTGTGTGGGAGTAAACTGGAACAATTTTATCGGACAGACAAAATCGTTACGGATGAACGGTCTGTATGGGATCCTTTACAGTTTGATGATGCTTATAGAGAAAAATCTCGTTACCAACCTAACGTGTTACGAAATAAATGTTTTAGGTATTTTATTAAATTTTGTTATGCAGGTTATAACAGTAAATATTTAGAGTAGGCATATGTTGAAAAACTTTCACATCTTATATTTCCCATTCTGTATAGTGCATTTTGTGTCTAGTAAACACTTAATTATTTGTGAAACGTGAGGCATCAACAAACAAAATTATTTGCAATCTAAATTCAAAGCACGTACATAATCTTAGAGCTGTTGCTTGCATACAAATAGTGTTCTATAAAGCCTTTCTTCGTAACAATTACCTTAAATGAAATATCGTCTCTGAAATAATTATAAATTATTTCTTTTTAAAATTATTATGGATATAATACATTTATAATCACCATAGTTTTAATTTTCTTCATTGAAACATAATTTCTAACATTACTTTTATAGTAATTATGGTGTTTCTTTTTTCTTTGTAAAATTTAGGAATTAGATATAACTTAGATAAGTGTTATGACTCAAATTTGTAAGTTTAATTCATAATAATTTATTTTTTAACCAACTAATTTACTTAATTCAATGAACAGTTAACATAAAATGCAGTTGCCATTCAAGCATTACATTTTATTGTAAAAATTATATCACCTATAAATATACTGTCAGAATTTCATAATAATGTATCACATTAACTTTGAATGGTGTCTTTCAGAATCAAAAATACAGCTTTAGATTGCATGAACATCCCGATTACGGCTGGCAACCCAGATTGTCGTCAAGACTATTTATCGCGATACTGGCGAACCTAACAGCTATAAAAATCAAAGGGACATATTCGCCAAACAGTACAGGACAGTTAGATGATGTTAAATTAGAAACAGCAGCGAGAGGTGTAGCTGGAGAACCTGCTCTTTGGATCGAATATTGTGACTGCCCAACAGGTACATACATACGGGATGTTTCCTAAATAAATTTAAAATATTTAAAGGCGTGATCAGTTAAAACTCGGTTTCAATTTTTATTAGTCATATGTATTTCAGAAAGTGACTTCTATAAAACAATGATGAAATATCCGTTATTTAGGAAAATTCCTATTAAAAAATTATACACCTAAAAATTTTAATCTATGATAGAATTAATATTTTCATAAAAAAATGATATTACCAAATGGAAATAATTATTCTTTTACATTTTATTTACGCTTACATGTTAAATACCGGGTGTCCGCAAATTTCACCGACAACATTTGACGCGTATTCAGGACGATAAATAAAAACGATCTACGAAAAAAATTTTTGGTTTTCGATTTACAAGCCTTCAAAGTTGTCAAAAATAAAACTAATTTATTTAATAACTTCATAACCTTTTTGCCGATCGCGTTAAAATTTGCCATATTTATTTGCACTGTTATGACGTATTATTTCTTAAAGCTTTAGTCTAATCGATATACTGGGTGATAGTTTTCTCCGGTTACCTCTCCCTTTTAGAGGACAAAGCTTTTACAGTGGTCGTATTTTTTTAAAACGGGCAGCAACACTGAAAAAGTCGTTTTATTTAAAAAAAAATATTGTCTCTTGAGAAAATCGCATACAGAAAGCCATTCTTGAGAAAAATGGCATTATTTACAGGTAGCAAACCGCAACATACAGATCTGCAAATAATGCCATTTTTCTCAAGAATGGCCTTCTGTAGGCGATTTTCTGAAGGAACAATATTTTTTTAAATAGAACGACCTTTTCAATGTTGTTGCCCGTTTTAAAAAATGCAACCACTGTAAAAGTTTTAATTGCTAAAATAGAGATGTAACCGGAAAAAACTATCACCCAGTATATCAATTTGACTAAAGCTTTAAGAAGATATGCTAAATCTACCACCGCTGCATATAGTGGTGCAAAGAGAAGCGCGGCTAGCAGCATATCGACTCAGGAATAACAACGACTGGAGGGGTAGTTTCTATTCCAGGACCATAGACACATCTCTGTCGGAACCAACTTTTGGGATGGTATCTGACAAGATGGTTCCACAAGCCATTTGAGACTCGAATAGAGGATCAAAGCAAAACGGAGGGAAGGTTTAATACCCTGGAAAGGTGGAGCCTAGTATGGTTTACAGATGGCGTGTCTGGCAGAGAATGTACGTAGAGGTTATAAACGTAAACTCATATATATTATCTGATAGTCAAGCAGTAATTAAAGCTTTAGGCGCACACAAGATAAGTTCAAAACTGGTGTGGGATTGTTTACAAATGCTGACTGAACTGGCCATCAACAATACAGTCAGACTGTGTTGGGTGCCAGGGCACAAAGGCATTTGTGGAAACGAGAAAGTGGATGAACTTGCTAGGAAGGGATCCGAGACAGAGTTCATTGGCCCGGAGCCCTTCTGTGGCACATCTCCCAGTGTGGTTAGGCGGGCTCTGGGCAAATGGACTGAGACAGAACACAGGAAATACTGGACTTCAAAGCCAGGACATAGCCATTCTAAGGGGCTCATGGAGTATCCTTCGAAGGAAAGAGCGAACGATTTACTGAGCTTGAACAAAATCCGGCTCAGGAGAGTGACAGGACTCATAACGGGACACTGTCACTTTAGGAAACATCTACATAAGCTAAAGCTTGTAAACAGTCCGGTCTATCGGCGGTTGAAACTTCTCTGCATATCCTGGGCGAGTGCCCGGGATTTGCACGTAGCAGAATGGCACTCCTGGGGAGACCTTATTTGGAACTCAAGGAACTGAGAGGAGAGAAGTGTCAGCAAGGAAGCTTTTGAACTTTGTAAAAAGGACAAATCTACTTGCTGAATAGGACTAGTAGTGGGACGCACAATAGGCCTAATTAGGCCGCGGAGCTATGGGACTTATTAGGACCAACCACTAGGAGAAGAAGAAGAAATCTTTAAGAAGTAATACGTCATAATAGTCTAAGTAAATGTGCCAGATTTTAAAGCGATCGGTAAAAGCTTTATGAAGTTATTAATTAAATTAGTTTTATTTTTGACAACTTTGAAAGCCTGTAACTCAAAACCAAAAAGATTTTATTTAACTTTTTTTCTTAGATCGTATATATTTATTGTCGTGAATATGCATGTTGTTGGTGAAATTTGCGGACACCCTATATAAATAGAACGAAATTTTCTGCTAGGTTTGTTGGTAGTTCAATACGTACCCAAGGTACGCAACCCACTGTTCAAAATGCCGTAGTCTGATAAGTCAATCTAAATACCTAACATTACGTAAATTAATCTAATATTGAGCAAAGACATCGAAACTGTTGGCTTTATCTCTTCTGAAGCGAATAATAAGATCCATTCAACGCCCTAAAGGTTCTTCTATAAGGTCTGTTTGCAACAGCAAGAAAAATATTACCAAAAGAGTATGTCAGGAGAATAAACTGTGAAGCTCAAGATAACTTGTGCCGAGCGGTTTAGGTTATTAAAAATACTATTTCTTTTGTTTTCAAACACTTGCAGATGTATCGAATGAATTAACGCAGAAATATACAATAACCTCAATGACATGACCTATATTTATGATCTTGATATAACAAAAAAAACTGCAAGGGTTGCAAAGTTAGCAACACGCGTGAACTGTGCGTAGTTTCTAATGGATTTCTAAAATAGAATACCTACATCCTTAGAAATAAAAAAAATCGGTTAACGTAATCAATAAAGTTGAATAGATACTTAAAAAACGTAAAGATTCAATGGTTGTAATAACGTGATAGAATAAGCTATACTAACGATTATACCCATTAGGCATCATGATTTTTTAACTTCTCCGCCTAGCTTCCACAGCTACATTTTACATTTATGGCCTAGATCCTCATGACAGTGGTGCTTCATTGAACAGCATCTCTACTGTTAGTTTTTTCTTCTTTTTGACCTAGGGCCCATTAATACCTAACTCCAAAACTGATTGTACCAGAAATCAAAGATTTGTTTTAAAAAAAATGATGTTTTTTTCTTGCCCCGAAGGGGACTAACCTTCATTCAATGAGGAAATAAGAAAAATTAAAACAAAACTCCCTAATGAAACGCCATCAGTTAATTCTTATTAGGTTCAGAAGAAAAAAATTGTAAGAATAACTAATAATCAGAAAAACTTTTTAATTTTTTTTATTATTATTATTATTCCCAAACATTACTTGTGATCATATTTCTATTATAGTCAGATATTCTACAAAATGTCTTATTCTTGTCTAAGCTATAGATCTGACTGTAACTGTTTTGATTTAGGTTACATCGGTCAATATTGTGAATCGTGTGCTCCTGGCTTCCGACATTCACCAGCTCTGGGTGGAAACTTCATGCCCTGCATCCCATGTGACTGCAACAACCATGCCAGTATCTGTGACTCCGAGACGGGTCGATGTATATGCCAGCACAATACAGCTGGTGAAAATTGCGAATTATGCGCCAGAGGATACTACGGAAATGCCTTAGCAGGTGAAAATAAATACATGAATATTTTTGATATTGTCATATTTTTTCTAAAATAAGTCTTATGGCAACAGAAATGCCAAACACGGCATCGCAACCATTACAAACAATTTATTTAAATGTATTACATGCGCTGCTGAGTTTTCCATTTGGCGTCTTAGTGCAATATGGACTTGATGGCTCTGCGATTTTCAAAAATTGAAGACGAAACACAATGCGCGTTCTCTCGTTCGAACTTGGTGCACTAAGAGAATCATCTTTTACAGATTTTTGTAGATCATTTCCAATGAAACCTTTTGGACGTTCAGAATTGTTCTTTTGCAGAAGATACCCACCGTTCTTAAGTAAAAGTTCAAAATCATGAAAGTTTTAGTAATAATAAAGTTTGAATTCCGGATTAAAGTAAAAAAAAAATAGTTTAATCATTTAATATCCGAAATAGGAGATTAAAAAGAGATATATTTTCTAAAATGTTTGAAGATGTTTGACCTAGAGTGATGAAACTTGGGTTAATAACTTATCTATTTAAAGGAATATATGGCAGAAGTTTCTAGGAGTCAATATCACTAAGAACCTGAAAAATTCGACGCCACTGGATATTTAGGAAATTTAATCAGCTTTAAATTATTAGTGGCATTTCTAATAAAGACATCTAATTTTGCACTTTAATGAATTTAGAATAAGTCTAGCGTTCGTTACACAGTCTCACAAGACTTTATAAAATTGTTTTGCCAGAAATTCGATTTCAATACGATCCTAATGAAAATGTCGAAAACGTAGAAATGTTGCATTTTCATCAGGAGGCATAGCCCAGAAGAAATGCTCAAATGCTCATTTCTACTGTGTTTCAATGAATGCTTTTTGTGAAACGAGTTGTTCTAATCATTTTAAATGCACTGAAGTACGTAATAACAGCAACATAAGTTAAAAAAAAGGAAATAAGTCGAACATTGTCTAGTCTTTTTTTCGAATAAAATGAAAGAGAATTTTTGTCTTAAAAATGCCACTACTGCTTAATAGTAGAAAATATCTAGTAGTGTCGAATTTCCATTTTTAAAAATACAGTGTGTATCAGTCAAATGGAACAAATTCAATAATAAATAAATGGGGGCGTGTTCGAAAAAACGCTCAGACACGTCAGTTGGTATTTTTAATTGCGCATTTTTTTCAACAAAAACTTTCTATACAGGGTGTATGACACACCCTAACTATGGTCAATACCATTCAATTTTTGGATTTTTCAGAAAATTGTAGACATATTTTATGGACAATATCCTATACATATCTTCAACTGTTTCGGAAATATTAAGTGTTTTCAGATTTATTACAAAAATTAACATTAAAAAAAGAAAATAATTTTCTTTTCTTAAAGTCAAGACAACTTGATGAAACAATCCTAATAATAAGTGGAAATAGTATGTCTTTTTATAATGGCTATTTTTAATTGCTTGTCTGTATCAAGGGTGACCTTAGAATAAAAATACAAGATGTTTCTTTGACAGATTACATTATTCAATAATGTCTATGTCAGGTGTGTCAAATTAATAACGTTTGGACATAAGCAATATAGCTGAGAGAAGCTTCATTGTCTGTGGTTTTGACATATTATTTATTATTTTATTTTAGAAAATTAAAAAATTATTATTAATGACTAATTGTTTACTAGATATGGTATAATTCAATGTCAGTTGGGGCATACTAGTCCAGTCATTCTGTAATTTGGAAAAGAAAGTGAACCAGGAAAGCCAAATTTTTTATATGTTGAGGGGGGTGCTTAGAAAAGCTTAACTTGAGATTTGAGACCAAGATTTCCTATGTGCATTTTCCGCCATCTTGGAAAAAGGGGAGAATTTTTGTTTTTGCTATAACTCGGTTCTCCGTCAAGATACAGAATTGTTGTTTTGTTATTTTTTATTCCTCTTTCAATGATCTACAATTTAGGTCCTATAAACTTTTTACCCATTATTGTTAGTTGTTGAGATATCAAACTAAATAGATAAAAAACAAGAACAAAGACAACTTTATAAAAATGCTCCGTCTTCATTTTGTACAAACCGAAATCAGAGTCGAACAAGCCTTTGAAGATGCGGACACTCTGATCGTAACCACCGCACTCGCAGAAGCATCAAAGTACGATTCGGTTGAAATCGTCGGCGAAGACATCGATCTCTTGATTTTGCTCACTGTACTAGCGAAAGACAAAATAAATGTCTACTTCCGAAAGTCGGGAAAACGAAATACACCAGGAACACTTACTTTACTCTCCAACTAGTATGAAACATAATAAATACGTTCTCGAAAACATATTTTTCATTCATGCATTCAGCGGTTGCGATACCACCTCATCTTTGTTCAGCATTGGCAAATCAAAATTCGTCAGCATATTGGAAAAACATTCGGAACTCCTATCATCGGTTGATTTATTCAAACGAGGACATGTCGATCCGGAGGATCTGACATCCACGGGAGAACGATTTCTCATTGCCCTGTATGGCGGTGAGAAGCACAGCAAAAACATCAATGCGCTACAATATCAACGCTACGCAAAATCTATCACCTCCACCAACGAGAAGCGTAGCACGATAACACATATTCCGCACGTATCATCAGGTACAAACTTGGCTTGGGTTTTCCAAGGATCCGGAGGAATGGGGTTGACGACGAACGGACCATGGTCTAAAGCCGGTGGTTATTAATACGGTTGAACCTGCGCCACCCGAGCTTTTGAAGTTAATGTCTTGCAAATGCAAGGAAAATGCGGAACTGCTTGTGGGCGCAGAAGAGCTGGCATTGCAAATTCAATCATTTGCCTCAACTGCAGTGGACAAACATGCAAAAACGTTGCCAAAGTCGATGTCCTGATCTGTGACAACGAATTAGATTCCAAAGATGATTCAACAGTCGCAAAAATTATGGTCGAAGAATCTGCACGTATCGAAAAGTAGCCTCAACAGAGGGACTGTGAACCAGGGCCGTCGAAGCGAAGGAAGACGTAGATACTTCTTGAATACGAAAACATTCTTGTATAATAAATTTCATACGTGTGAAAATAATCTCACTGTGTTAGTTCTTTATTTCGAATCCATTACAACGTACCTATAAAACCGCGCGAGCTATAAAATAAAACTTCGCACGGACTTGTGGACTTCGCGACACGATAGAACCCACAATTATTACCCTAGAGAAATAACAAAAGTATTAAGGAAAAAGAGAAAACTCCGAAAAAAGACACCAAATTGTTCATACAAACACCCCCTACAAGAGAAAATCCCGAAAAATCAGATCGGATCTTTGAATTTTTATCAATTTTGTTCGATATCTCAACAACTAACAATTATAGGTACAAAGTTTATAAGACCTAAATTGTAGGTCGTCGAAAGAGGAACAAAAAACAATAAAACAACAATGTATCTCGACGGGGAACCGAGTTATAGTAAAAACAAATATTCACCCCTTTTTCCAATATGACGCAAAATGCACATAGGAAATCTTGGTCTCAAATCTCAAGTTAAGCTTTTCTAAGCACCCCCCACAACATATAAAAAATTTGGCTTTCCCGGTTCACTTTTTTTTCTTCGCTTTATTTTTGGACAGAATGATTGGAGTATACAGGCCATAGAGTAGTTGCTTCCCGTAATATCGACAGATAGAAATCTTATCTGTGTGGTAGATTTCTTTTGCATGCCTAAATTTTTGGTATTAAAGAAGGTTTTATACGATTTTTTTGGAAAAATATAGTTTAATTTATTCGAATAAGCTTTATATCTTCGATATTAGTTATCATATTTATATATGAATGAAGATGATTTTTACTTTTAATTAGACATTTACCATATTAAGCTAATTATTTTGCTTTAGTTTCTTAATTAGAGGTATTACGTAATTACGGAGAAATTTAATCTATATATTTTATTGAAACAAACGTAAATTTGTATAACTCAAAAAAATTTATTAGTTTTGAGCCAAACTCCGCTGTCAATAATGTTCCTAATATTATCATAGTTCAGACTATTCATCGTGAATAGTGAATTATATGAAAAAAACTCAAGTGATACAAAACTATTTTATTAGAATAGCCTATTAAAATCTGTAAAACAAGATATAACTTTTTTTGTAGCTGACATTTCACTAAACCAAGTTTGAAATCTACACCTTCAACCGTTCTTGACTAATTGATATAAAAGTATTTCACGTCTAATTTTGGAATCACAAAGCTCTTAAAAGTCATTTTGGGAAAACGAATAAGTGCTAAAAGTTAGCCATAACGCCGTTGTTACATCCATGTATAAATAAATATTAGTATTATTGTCTACAAAAAAATTTTAGGAACCCCGGAAGACTGTTTACCATGTGGCTGTCCAAACGGGGGTGCTTGCATCCAGATTGATGAAGACATTGTGATGTGCACCGAGTGCCCTACAGGCTATACTGGCCACCGTTGCGACTCGTGCTCTGATGGATATTTCGGGGATCCAACTGGTCAGTTTGGACCTCCTCGAGCCTGCGAACTGTGTGAGTGCAACATGAACATCGACCCAAATGCAATAGGTAATTGTGATCTAGTCACTGGCGACTGTCTTAGATGCATTCATAACACTGGTGGCCCAAAATGTGATGTTTGCTTGTCAGGTAAGTAACGATGTAAAAAATATATACGATGTCTCAAATATAACGACTACAAATTTGGAACGAGAAAATATTACGATTTAACCAAACTTGTTTTGTCCAAAAGTGTTATTTTGTATCAACTAGTATACCTGTCTTATTTAAAAATGATTGAAAATTGTAATTACCAAATACTACTAATATTAATATGAAATAAAGAAAACAGAGACGATTAAAACATCAAACGTAGCACACGTGGAGACTTACCTTTGCTTACCAATTTTTAAAATCGTTACAAACACAACAAAAAAAGCGAGTTGAGCCGTGTACCAAACCAGTGTTGCCTATAACTTTGATCCGATGAATTTGAATCTAAAGTAAGAATTTCAGGAGCAGTCCACATTTTGATCCTAACAAGACAGTCTTATAGAAAGCGGTTTTCGAGATTTCAAACTGACTTAAATTGTCAATGTTGGAAAAACATTCGAATTCACAGGTCAACATTTTATCTTGGCTTGTGCACGGGAATCGAAGATGGTATCCTAGGGTTGTCAAGTTCAAGGTCATTTGAAGGTCAAACGGTCAAAAAACCTTCCAAAAGTCTGAAAAAATTCATGGACATGTATTTGAGGTCGCTGAATCCGAAACCGGTGTTTATTTTTACTTTGCATGCATCCTCGAAGTCATTCAAGATCATCTCAAGGTCATTTGAGGTTTTTTTACGGGATTCTACAGTCATTTTCCAAAGAATCTTTTCTGGTATAAATCTCATTAATGCATAACATGGTAACAATCTCAATCTGCGAAATGCACAATTGTGCCACAGAACTAGAATACCTGCCTTGAGATGACCTTGAATGACCTCGAGGATGCATGCAAAGTAAAAATAAACACCGGATTCGGATTTTTTGACCGTTCGACGTTCAAATGACCTTGAACTTGACGTGGTGGAGCCTAACCGACGTAATCAGCAACCCCAAAAACCCTAGAATACCATCTTCGATTCCCGTGCACATACCTAGATAAAGTGTTGACCTGTGATTGACCTCATTGCACCATAACCTCATAATTTCGTAGTTTCATAACCCCGCAACTCTGTAACCTCATAAACCTGGATGAGCGAGAGTGTAGAACCGTGAAACTCTGTGGAAACATGGACCTCATATATCAGGGGTTCGAAACTAGGTATACGAATAAGTAGGCTTCCATAACCCATAACACTGGGTGAGCGAGGGTGTATAACTACAAAACTCTGCGGGATTTAGTCTGTAGTCCTATTGTAACTCCATAATCCTTTAATTCGAACACATGATATGGGGCATACAGACTTCTGTCACAAAGTCACTCGGGGTATTTTCTCTTTGAATCTATACTGAAAAAACGTAATAGTACTTCCTTTGACTTTAGAATCAGTAATCATGAGTTTTTGCGATCAAAATTGTTCAAATAAGATATTGCGGAGTGATGAAGGTATGTACTTTAATAAAAAGTATGGTAAAATTCCTTAAACTTTCCAAGGTAACCTGTTGCCATATATTTTAAAGGTTTTATTTAGTATTACATAAATGTCACATGAATTCTACATTGAACGTTCCATAGCAACAGGTTGTTCGAGGAATTTTACCATACTTTTTATTACAGTGTGGGTTATGGTGTAATGAGATTACGAATTCCAGTGATTTTTTCCAATCACTGCCAACCGCTTTCCAGATCAGTTTCTTGTTGTTGTTGTTGAAGGATAAAAACAAAAATTGTGGATACAGGCTGATTCTCTTTATAATATACATCACCTTTTTTACTAAAACAAGTTCCCAACTAGCAATATTATCTATTACAACATTCCTAGCTACTACTATTGTCACCTTTCCTGTTGAGAATACCAAAAACAACTATTAAAAATTATATTATTTTCTCGGGCTACTCGCTTGGCTGTTAAGAGAGTAAAACAGATAGACAAATCAATTCATTTTTACATTTTTATTATATAAAACACATACTCCATATCTCTGAGGGGTTACTTTTCTTGTGGAGGACAAAATGGTAACCTGGCTCTTGGCCATCGACTGGCTCTCAAAGTGGCTCTGAACTGGCCCCCCCGGACTGGCCCAGGACTGGCCAAGGACTGGGCCAGTCATAGTTCCCGATTCTTCTACCGGTTGTTTAATTAATTTTTAATGCACTCAGCATAATATTTAAACCCCGGAAGCTTGGTGAATCGGGACCAGTCTTGGGCCAGTCCAGCTGTTTATAGAGAGAGAGTAAGCGAGATGGACATAATGTAAGGGTCAGTTCAATATGCATTCAATTTGCATCTAGACACTTTTCGTTGCTTTTAATTATATTGTGTAATACTGACATGTAATTGATTCCAATTATATTTACAAATTTTGTTCTATGCAATGAGTTAAATAAATATTTGTACCGAAGGTATTTTTGTAAAAATCTACTAAAGAGATATGCGTCCAAATAAAGTAATGCCATATGTCCATACATATTTATCTTTCAATGTTTTGACTATAGTTACACGGTGATTATTTAAATTTTGAATATTACTCTCCCTCTCTCTAAAATACTTATAGTTGACATTATTGTGGGCTCCTTAAAATGCCCGCAATAGGAGTACCTACATTTCAACAATTATAGTCCAGTCGAATTAGATCATAAACCCTGAAAAAAAGTTGGCAAATTGCAAATAAGTAGCAAATTTACGTTTTTTCACTTTCTTTTTCTTCCCCTTGAAAATCTAGTTGACCTATCTCAAAATTAGTTATTTAAGGTATGTAAAATATTGCAAATTCTTTGTTAGTTGTAAAGAGCAACTTAATTTCGATATATTTCTTTGGATCAATAATTAGAGCGATATTAACTTCTAAAATTAACGTTAAACTACAGAAAAATTAACGAAATTAATCAACAAATATCTGAAGCGACAATTTGACGGTCAATCGAATCAGCCTTTGGCACACATGTTGGTCAATTTGCCAACATAGCGTCACTTCTTTCAAATTAGTTTTTTTTTACTATCATTCCACTTAACCTTCATCATCATAAAGTGCAAAAATGCCTACTAATATTTTTTTTACATTGAAACTTTAATTCGACGGGACTACCAATTATGCTGGTTGAGTTTGGTTACATCTTAATATTTTGAAGCCCCAAATTCATACCTTCACTATTAATTTTAGAGCTCCTTGTATTTTGATATAATATAAGAATTAAAAATGTATCTCTTCACTTTTAGGCTTTTATGGAAATGCATTAGTTTTACCCAAGGGCGATTGCAAACAGTGCCACTGTTATCCACCCGGTACCGAAGAAGACATTTTGGGAGCTCCCGTGTGTGACCAGACAACTGGAATATGCCTCTGCAAAGCTCACGTAACCGGTCGAAATTGCGAAAGATGCGAAATAGGATATTATAACCTCCATAGTGGAGACGGCTGTCAAATTTGTAACTGTGATCCCATTGGTTCCTTCAATCAAACCTGTGATATTTATTCTGGGCAGTGTTACTGCAAACCTGGAGTAACAGGGTAAGAAAAATTGAGACAAATAATGTTTAAGGTGTAACCTGTTAATCAATTTTTAAATACATAAATAATTGCCTACATGGGCGCCGTTAACATAAAATCCACGAGGAGAAAATTGAAAATATCAAAATATATTATAATCCCCGTCTAGGTATAAGGTCCGCAAGTAAAGCGTACATGTCATAAAAACTTTACCTATCTATTGGCATAGTTTATAAAAGTAATAGAGTACTCGATCATTTTCATTTGTTTCCAGTTTACAACTGGAAAAGTATACATTTTTTCAGATATACCTACAGGGTGGGCCATTAATGTGAGAAAGTACAATAACGCCCTTGTTATTCGTAGTACAGAAAAAAGTTTATATAATAGTTGTACAGAATCAAAAAACCTAAATGACTAAATTAATTTGAAACATACAGGGCGATGAGTAAAAACGGGACACGCCAAATATTACATTTTTTAAATGGAACACCCTGTATATTTTTAAACATATGAAAATCTGAAAAAATTATATATACGACAATATAAACAGTTTAACATTTTAGTGCGGGGTTGCCAAGTTGTGTAGAAAATTCTTCGAATTTTGGAAAAAACATGACCTCGAAGAAGTTGTATTAACTTTCAACTACTAACACTTGGAGTTATAGGCAAATGTTAGACAAAGACTCCTATATTAGCTAATATCGATATTATATACAGGACACTTTATAATACGATCATTTTAGAAAGTTCAAACTTGATTTTCTAAAATTTTTAAAATGGAACACCCTGTAATTTATTGTTCTATTTTATTCACATATTAGTCCACTTCAACTTTTATTAAGTATGTTCTACACCAAAAGTTGTTAGTTTTTAGCAATATAGCAACATTTCTGGAAAGACCGAATTTTTATTATTTTCGGTCGCACGCAATGGCTTTGGAAAAAAACCGTCACATTGTGTCAACTTGGCAGTTGATAATTTATCATTCCATTTTGAGTTAATTTTACTAGTTAATATTTATTTGTGGTATTCTATATAATAATAAAAATTAAGTTTTTCAGAAATGTTACTATATCTTAAAAACTAACAATTTTAGATATAGAACATGCTTAATAAAAGTTGAAGTGGACCCATCTGTGACAAAAATAGAATAATAAAACACAAGGTGTTGGATTTGAAAAATTATAGAAAATCAAGTTTAAACTTTCTAAAAATGATCGTATTATAAAAAATGCCCTGTATCGATATTAGCCAATATAGGAGCCTTTGCCTAACATTTGCCTATAACTCTGTCTAATTATTTTGTTCCAAGTGTTAGTAGCTGAAAGTTAATACAACTTTTTCGAGGTCATGTTCTTTCCAAAATTCGAAGAATTTTCTACACAACTTGGCAACCTCGCACTAAAATGATAAACTGTTTTTATTGCCATATATAGAATTTTCTCGGAAATCCATATGTTTAAAAATATACATGGCGCTCCATTTAAAAAATGTAATATTTGACGTGTCCCGTTTTTACTCATCCAGTATGTATCATATTAATTTTGTAGTTTAGGTTTCTTGATTCTGTATAACGTTTATATAAACTTCTTTTCTGTATTATGAGTAACAAGGGAGTTATTTTACTTTTTCACACTAATGGCCCACCCTGTATATCGTGAAGAATCCCAGTAAGCCAGATCTTATATTTGAAATTGTTTAAATAACTCTAAATTCTGGATGACTTCCATATTGCTGTATTATTATTGAAAAAAAAAATCAATATCGAGAGAAATAATAATTTTGTATACTTCACATGGGTGTCCCTTAGTTGAACACCCAAACTTCTACATACTTGATGAAAATTAACACAAAAAATTCTGATGAACTTAAGATCAATCCCATCTCCTCACGAACTGCAACACCTTAAGAATCACCTGCTGATAATAGTTTTTTAGAAATATATTCTAAACCATTTTAAATATCACTACCAAATTTAGCATAACATTGGCTATTCATTAATTGACAAAAGAATAAATAAATTGCGTAAAACTTACATTTTCACGACTATCTCGATAAATAAAATATCGATTTTTTTTGTTTCTTGGAGTTTGGTGTATGAAAGTGATGGTAATTAAAAAAACTTTGCTTTCAAAAATTTTAATAAAGAACATGGTTACACAAAAGTAAAATTGAAAAATACCTATATTATGATGTAACAGTTATTACCAAAAATAGTAGGTACACCAAAGAAAGCTATGATGTCCACCTTCAGATATAAATAAATATGTCTCGAATATTAGAGATGACTATACAGGGTGTCTCATAATTAGCTGCCAACTCTGAACAGGCCGATTCTATGATCAAAACTAAGTAAAAAAAGTTCATATGAACATGGGTCCGGAAATGCTTCCTAAGGGCACAGGGACCCATTGAAGAGGGAGGAATGGAAACCATTTTTTTGCAATATCTCTCAATCGCGTTGTGATAAATGAATGAAATTTGGTATACACAGCTAAATTTTGATGAGCAATTTGATGGACTAATCCATTTATTTCCACAAGGTCCATTGGGGTGGGTACGGGGGGGCCCTTGGTACTTTGCGTGTGTAACTTTTTCATCTTTGACTTTTTAACAAATTGGACAGCAAATTCCGTTTTCCCGAACTGTTTTACGTTAAAAAGGTACTCTTGTTTCAAATCGTTATCTTTAACGGTTTCTGAGAAAATCGCTCTTGAATTAATCCCACTTTGGTCAATTTCATAGTAATTTAAACAAAAAATAATAATAATAATTTAATACGTAATCAGTAATACACATTATTGATGTAGAACAATTATGATATGATGATTTGTTTATGGCTTTTGCGATGGTAATGCTGCGCGGCAGAACGCGAGTACGGCAGAAGGTTTCCAAACAGAAGGCTGACATCAAGGAGGACATTCCTCACTGTATTCCGCAATTTAGCTGCAACCGTCACTTTTCGAAGGGATCATAAGATGGAAACTTAATTTTGATAACAGACAACAAGCTATTTTAAAAACTGTTCAAAAAACCCTCCACCTTCTCTGATACAAAGTCTTGCCCTACGTGTAACACTTCTCGAAGCTATTAAGATGCTAAAACGGTTTTGACGAATTTCATTGGCTGCATCATTGATACGCTGCAGCAATTCCTCACGGGTATCGACTTCGGTGGCGTAAACTTTTTGATTTAGATATCCCCAGAAAAAGAAGTCCAGCGGGGTTAGGTCGGGAGAACGCGGCGGCCAAGCTACCGGTCCGTGCCTCCCTATCCACCGTCCAGCGAAATTTTCGTTTAGGAAATTTAGAACATTGCGACCACTATGTGCCGGGGCTCCATCGTGTTGAAAAAACATGTTACGTCGTAAATTTAGAGGCAGATCATCGAGAATTTGGGGAAGATTTTCTTGAAGTAAGTTTAAATAAAGATTTGAATTGAGACGTTGTGGAATTTCAATAGGTCCAATCAGAGTGTCGTGAATTATTCCCGCCCATAAATTTATGGAAAACCGTTGCTGGAAGTTTGTTCTCCGAACAACATGTGGGTTCTCTTCTTCCCAATAATGAGAATTATGAAAATTTAATTTTCCATTTCGGGTAAAAGTAGCTTCGTCACACCACAAAATTTTGGAAGCTTGCTCGTTGTCCAGCGACAAAATCCAGCGACAAAATTGCATACGTGGCGCAAAATCTTCTGGTATCAAGCCATGTACACGTCGATAGTGATAGGCATGTAGACCTTGTCGCTTTAATATTCTTCCAACCTGAAATGTTAGTAGCACATCTAATCAATTCTGTTAAGGAAATCTTTAAGATATGTAGTACCGTTGGCCGAGGAACATTTATTTGCCTTGAAATGTTCCGTATGCTAGTCGTAGGATCTTGTTCAATAGCGTCAAGGACCTCCGCTTCCCTATTAATCCTGGGACGTCCTTGACCCGGTGCCTTTCGAAAAGTGGCGGTTGCAGCTAAGTTGCGGAATACCGTAGGGAATGTCCTCCTTGATGGCAGCCTTCGGTTTGGAAACCTTCTCCCGTACTCGCGTTCTGCCGCTGCAGCATTACCATCGCAAAAGCCATAAATAAATATCATATCAACTAACTCTTGTCCCGTAAACTCTTCCATTTTTTTCGCTTAGAACTATTAAATTGGCAATCGGGTTGACAATACTTTGACATAAGAATACCTTGATAATTTTGTTTAAATTACTATGAAATTGACCAAAGTGGGATTAATTCAAGAGCGATTTTCTCAGAAACCGTTAAAGATAACGATTTGAAACAAGAGTACCTTTTTAACGTAAAACAGTTCGGGAAAACGGAATTTGCTGTCCAATTTGTTAAAAAGTCAAAGATGAAAAAGTTACACACGCAAAGTACCAAGGGCCCCCCCGTACCCACCCCAATGGACCTTGTGGAAATAAATGGATTAGTCCATCAAATTGCTCATCAAAATTTAGCTGTGTATACCAAATTTCATTCATTTATCACAACGCGATTGAGAGATATTGCAAAAAAATGATTTCCATTCCTCCCTCTTCAATGGGTCCCTGTGCACTTAGGAAGCATTTCCGGACCCATGTTCATATGAACTTTTTTACTTAGTTTTGCTCATAGAATCGGCCTGTTCAGGGTTGACAGCTAATTATGAGACACCCTGTATAAGACCTGTAACTTATTGTAAATAATCACATAGGAAGATCAGAGGGGAAAAATTGTAAAGAAAACACAATATTTATTGTATGTATTATTATACTTAATATTGAACATGTATTATACATATACCGATGAATACAAACTAATTAATGCATCTATCTATTACAAATCTATTCACTTACCACTAATGTTTAGAAACACATTATATTTGCAAAGAAAATTCTATGTTTTCTTATCAAAGAAGTAATGAAAGAATTGGTTCCACGCAACTTATTTTTATTTTTAAATGTGAGACATCAGTGTTAAAGACGTTTACCAAATTTTGTACTGATATTTCAACTAGTTTAAAATATATTTACAA